TCTTGGAAGGAAGTAAATCAGATATATTGCCTAAACTTATAAACAGGAACATGAATGTATTTGCTGTGTAAAGCAAGACCTCTAAATGGAGTCACTGCAGTATTAAACCAGTGATGAGCTTCAAGATGAATATGCAGAATAACAGTATACAATTACAAATATGCACCCACATGCCACTGCATTACAGGGTCCCACTTGAAATCAAGTCCACTTGAAGTTGAGACACTACAAGTCATTGGGTTTCCCCTGCTGCAGGCTCAGGGCATCCTAGACCTGGTCAGTGACCCATAAATGCCAAACATTAAACAACCCACAATTTCAGATATATTTGGTTAGTAGAATAACATGATTTGCTGTAATTTGCATAAATTAACTCAATACCCACAAAACTGGTGCAAACTGCTTGTGTTTTCTAGTGTTGGAATCTATGAGTAAACTAAGGAGAGAACTGTCCCTCTAAGAACTGTCCCATAGAAAACATCCTATGTGGTGCTAGTGCCCACATTTTTTTTTTTTTTTGAGAGATAAGCCTCAGTCTCCCAAAGGAGAAGACATAAGCTTGGAGCCTGTTGGGGCCAGGGGGAAGGTCTAAAAGCCCATCCTTCCTATTCTAACATTCATACTTAGACCCATGCAGATTAAAGTGGCTAGATTTGAGTGGAATATGTAGAAAGGTTGGGAAGGAAAGATGTGTACCAGTGCACATGAACCTCTGCTGATGCCTTCAAAATGTTTACTGGGCTGGTGGAAGAGGGTCTTCGTATTTGTTTAGATTTGTAGACTGCAGATGGCACAAAAGTTCCTGTCTAGATTCTGGTTCCTGGAAGATGTTGACCTTCACAGTATGACTCTGATACTTGGCAAGCTTGTCAATATGATCCAATACTCCTGTCAAAGAGCTGCATTCTTTCTAAGAATTGACAACAACTTATTTTCTGCCCTTTTTATGATAGTCAACCCCTCTGCTAGCAAGGGTCCATTCTTTTCTTTATCTGCCCCATGTGTCTTTTATTCAACACATCTCCATTCTGCTGGATTTGCCTGTAAAGGAAAAGCCATTCATATCCTATCCACTCCTTCTGCAATCATAACTATATACAAAAATGGAGAAGCAAACAGAACTGACAGCATAGCTTTCTGAGAAACTGGCATGTCAGATATTATCTAAGGGAGAAACTAAAATCAGACTTTAAAAAAGCATGTGGCAAAGCCTAATTTGTTTTGTTAATAAAATCACTTCTAAACATCACATATGCATAACATCCCACACACTCCTGGACAAATGTGGAAAGGAAAGGCACACTGGGGTGATGCAGGGTATTGATAAGTTTGTTACATGTAATGTTTCAATTATTTTTCATATAGGAGGACCAGTGTGATGTGGTGGTTAGAGTGCTGGAGTGGGGACATGGGAAATTCAGGCTCTAGTCCCCACTTGGCTATGAGGCACACTGGGTGACTTTGTGCCTGTCACTCTCTCAGCCTAACCTACCTCACAGGGTTGTTGTTGTGAGGATAATTGGGAGCTATATAAGCTCCTTTGCTTTGAACGTAGGGTACAACCTATGCAAATTTAGACAGGAAAAGGCCTACAACCTGGGCATGCTGAGAATTGTATGCATTTTTCTACCTAAACTTGCATTTGCTTGCATCTTTTAAAAATTCAGTATTATTTATTTAGTTAGTTAAACCATTTGTGTGCCATCTGTTGTGCCATAGCATCTCTAGGTGGCTTGCAATCAGGTAATTAAAACCGTTATAAAACTAAGACAACAACCATCCCAGAACAAGTGAAAAATGGAAATCTTATTTTAGACACTCTCTATGATCAAAGTGTAATGGCCCCCAGGGGAGAGGGGGTTTCTCACTGGCATACATTCTATTTAAATGTATCAACTAATGCAAAGTTGCCTCTTAACTAAAGTCTGAGTTCAAAACCAACTTAAGAGGCCTATTTGGAAAATTCACCACCGGCCCTAGTAGCCACACTGCACAACTTTGGCTTTATCGTCAGAAGAGGTAAGGCCGGGCAGGAGCCTTCCTCCATTTGTATCTGCGTGACTTCAGCCATGAGGGGGCAGGCTGACAGAGGCCTGACTTTAGTTCCAAGGGAGCCTTGAAAGGAGCAAGTGAGATGAGTATATATCGGTTAGAAAAGCCTAAATTCCTTTCACTTTCACATTATCCTTAGCCAACCTTGATGATAAAACCAACATAACCCAGACCACACTTGCTTTTTTCTTTTTCTTTTCTTTTATTAACATCCTGCCTTTTTTCCATTCAAAGAACTCAGTACAGCTTACACAATTTGCCTCCTTTTCTCGTCTTATTCTCACAACAACAACCCTGTGAGGTAGGTTAGCATGAGTGCCTGTGACTGGCCCAAAGTCACCCAGTTATCTCTATGGCTGAGAGGGGACTTGAATCCAGATCTCTTGAGTCCTGCACTCTTAACCATTTGCAGAACCTGTCTTTGTAATCGCGATAAATAGAATTCTTACTTCATGCATATACAACACTGAAAGGAGGGAGAAAAACCTGTTCTTATCTATTAAAAGTGCCACTTTTTTCCTGACTGTTTTGTCAGAATGGACGTGGTGAGTTTCTGTCCATCAGGACACTGCTATCAGTTAAGTAGCCAATGAACTATCAATTAATAGAGTAGTACATTTTTATCCTGTTGTGTGTACCTGGCCTCCCACATACTCCATTTTACCTTTACAGTAAAAGGATTTGTGAGGCCATTTTATTGATGCTAAGACTTTGAAAGAAATGAGGGAACAAAATAAAAAATGAAGAGTTAGTTTTTCTCAAATTTTCAAAAAATCCCTGGGGGAAAATAGTGGATCCCCCCTTGTAAAAAGTTTCAGTGAGTAAATTCATTCCTTTCTCCACTTGACCATGTTGAAGGTACAGTGCCTTGGTGAAAAAGAAAACTGGAAAGCCAAAACTTCAGCCACCAAAATTGTGAAGTTAGCAGAGCTATAAAAGTGAAGTTAAGTGTTAAACTTCATGAAGTGATTGGTCTGTATCCTCTGAATGCCTTGCTTGGCTGAGTGTTGTAATATTCCTCTAATGCTTTAATAGAAAGACTGATGCTTATCTACATGAAAACCTGACCAATCTTTAATTACCTGTGTTGAGGATCAAACAACAACAACAACAACACCTCCCTCTTGTTCACTGTCTAATGATGAGAGAGACAGGCAACACCAGCACATCATTTTACATTTAAAAAGACTCCTTATTGTTAAGTCTAACAATGTAGAGTGAGGCCATCTCTAGTTAAACCAGCTCCTACAGTCATCATATACAGTGGATTTATACATTTGGCTCTTTGCAATTATTCATAACAGAAAATATTCAGTTACTTTTGTACATGGTTATCTTGACCTACACTTTTTAGGAGATCTGATATCAAAACATCTGCCTCAGGGCATATCTGTACAAATTCTGACCTTGGCAGAGCTTTACTTTATATTTTCAAGCCTCTTGTGTTTCTCTGATAGAACCCTAAGTAACTGACACTTGTTTGGTCATCAGGAAAAAAAAAATATTTACCTGTCTTCCAATTCCATGAGGTCCTGTGGCTGGCAACAATACTGCTGAGCCATACCATAGCAATACAAGCAATAAAAACTATCCACTCACATTACTATTGGTGTCCAGTTGCCTCACAATATTGAGCAAAACAAGGAAAGATCTTTCTCTTAATAGAGTAGTGCTTGCTCTGGTACAGGACAAACTGCAAAAGATTATCCTGTTTATATAGGGTCATTCATACAGCTGATGTTTACAAAATAATACAAATACTAAAAAAAACAAACAAATGTAACCCTGCTCCAAGAGGAGATTAAAACCTTTGACACTGAGAGTGACCAGAGGGGAAGGAATGGATATTATTGTTGTTCTTAATATATTTATACCACCCAGTGGGTAGTGGTATAGTTCATGAGAGCAACAATTGCTATGACCAAATCAGTTATATGTACTCATACTTCATTTTGGGTGGGATGAGAACTAAGGAGTTAACCCTACAGAATTAATCAAAAGAGATGTGCTTTGTGGGGAGCCTGAAAAGAAAAGCAAGAGAAGATGAAGTTTTGGAAGGCAGTATGATAGGCAAGATTTAAATAATCTTCTCCCAATCTGGTGCCCTTCAGGTATGTTGGGCTACAACACCCATCACCATGACAATTGGCCATACTGGCTGGTTCTCAACACTTCTGGAAGGCACCAGGTTGGGGGTGGCTAATTTAAAGGAGCAGCGGAGTTTGGGACTGTGCTGGAGTGATAGAATTAGATGAGTGATGGTAAGGGATATGTGAGAGGTAAAGGCCAACAGAGTGTTTGGAAGGGCAAGAAAATAGTGCTGGATGACAAAGGCAATGGGAAGTCAAAGAAGGAATTTATTCATATTAAGATAAAGCTACAAACATAAAGCTCTGCAATTTGTTCCAATCCAGCAGTTATAATGCAATACACTTTGAAAAGCTTTGTCTGATTGGGCTGCACTGTTGAAGGGCAATTGTAGTCAATGTTGGTTCTAGATTAGATCCATTGAAGTGAATTGCATTTTTAAAAAACCAGTCTAGCCAAGAGGTGTAATTGTCTACTCAGATCAAGTTCCATTGGGTTCAGTGGGACTTACTCTCAAGTAAGTATGCTTAGCCTAATGCAGTGCTAAGCTTCTATACGCTGTAGATTATAGCTTCTCTTCTTTTATTTGACTTCTGCCATTATTTTGGGAGAAGCATGGAGAACATCACAAAATATTCTCTTTAATTAGCACTGTTTACCT